GGCTAGGGATTGGTACAGGCGCCACCACAAGCAAGCGGGAAAACAGAATTGGACTGAGTATGTCAAGCCATACGAGAGAGACTCGTACTAATAATGAAATTCGCGAGCAAATTCGAGCTTGTAATCAAAAACCGGGCGAAAATGTTGAAAGTTTCTATGAGATCATTTGCCAATTAATGGATAGATTACCTTTTCGTATTGTCGAAGATGAATTAATTAAAATTGTGCAGAATAATTTGTTGCCTGAAATATATATATATATATATATATAAAATACAATAAATATATTGCTGTTTGAAGAAATTTATTCTATAGCTCACTTGCGAAGATTTTCTTCCAGAATTCGGTCGAATCAGACCAGCCCCAATGAAACCCCGAGAACCAGATGGTTCTCGTGTCTATTCCCTGGAAGAACCAGAAAAAGAACATGATGCTGAGCCTGAAGAAATAGAGGAAATTGCAGCTTTAGACAAAGGTGACTCGAAAATAGTCTGTTGGAATTGTGAGACATAAGGTTGCAGGTAGGAAGATTGACTTGCGGTTAGACGTGTGTTTTGTTACAGTTGTGGTACCACTAATTTTTACATACTAACGGTTTTTGGAAAACCGAAGGAAGGGAGTAGCCTCCAAAAACAGGATGCTTTCAAAATAAATGAAGAGTTAAAAGTTTCAGGTGTATCTGTATCTGAACCTTCTAGTACCTTGTTGATAGACACTAAAATTCAATTCAAAGGTTACGCAAATATTTAGAAATTAGGAAAATAATATTTTCAAACGATTCGATACAGAAATACTCGTTGCAGAATAAAGGATATAGGGATGCTTAAAAAGAAGCAAAGACTATTGATCGCTACAGCTTTTCTGAATAACAATGATATGCTTAGTTATATAAAAGCCTAATTTTTAGAGTTTGAACAGTTAGGCTTATTAGATACGGGAGCAAAAACCAGCTGTATAGGTTCCACATTAGCTAAAACAAATTTTTGTGCATGTGAAAACAGCAGATGGCTGCTCATCAAGTACTTGGAGCATTATTGGTGCGTATGGTCTATAATGGGCAAGAAAAGGAAATCGAATTATACATTATACCTTCTATCGTGCATAACTTAATATTATTAATTGATTTTTGTCGAATTTTTAATCTCGCCCAGAAATAACTTCGTCTGTCACTGGTCCGTCCGTAGGAAATGACACTTTAGAAAATCTGAAATATACGTTGTCCGATCGTGAATTATTGCAACTAGAGTCGGTTGTCGAATTACTCCCCAATTATGAAAAACAAGGCCTAGGACGCACCTCTCTAATCAAGTATCATATTGAAGTAAGGGATGCGAAGCCAATTAAACAACGATATTATCCGGTTAGTCCTGCAGTTGAGAAGCTTATGTACGCAGTGATAGATCGCATGATAAAGTTAGGAGTGATTGAGCCTTCCAAAAGTCCTTGGAGCACGCCAATGCGATTGGTAGTTAAGCCAAATAAAGTTCGATTTTATTTAGATGCTCGCAAAGTCAATGATGTTACGAAAAATGATGGCTAAACCTTATTACTAAATTAGATTTAAAAGACGCCTATTAGTAAATTAAACTGTCAGAGGAATCAAAACCTCTAACTGCCTTTACAATGCCAGGAAAACCACTTTACCAGTTTATGGGCTATGTAATGGTCCAATGAGTGGCCTGATGGATGATCTCATTTCCCCTGATCTGCGTGATTGTGTGTTTGGCTACATTGATGACCTGTGTATAGTTTCGGAAACTTTATCGGAACATCGCTCAGTATTGGTAATATTAGCAGAGCAGTTTAGAAAAGCTAATCTCACATTTAACCTCTCAAAGAATCAGTTTTGTGTTACAAAACTCAGCTATATAGGATTTGTAATAGGATGTGGTGGAGTATCTACAGACCCATCAAATATTTCGTGCATTCTCAGCTGGCCAACTCCCAAAATCCTAAAACAAGTACAAAATCTGCAATCGCAATTACTCTTGCAGGTCATGGTCGGGTCGGGTGCAGAAGGTGTGCGTCGAATGACACCTAGACCACACCGCCGTCATGGCTACCAACGTATCGTCGGTTTCCTCCCTCTTTATTTTTTCCTTTTCTCTTTAATTTCCATTTATCCCTTTCCCCTCTTTTTTATTTTTATCTTGATTATTCTTTTGGATATCTTTGTGTTGAATTCAGATTGACCGGAATGGTCAATTCATTTAAGTATTACCCAACAGGGCGTTGGGGACCCTAGAACTAAAATTCACCCAGTGTGCCGAGATATGTCAACAAAAACCCCGCCTATATTCCCGAACAGAGCTAGTTCATTGACGGGTCCCAAGCGTTGCCAAGTTTCTTCTAGCATTTTTTTTTTTAAATGTGTACGACATTGCAATAAGTACCTGCGTTGTCGCGAAACAACAGTGTATTAGTATTTTTCTGCTCAATACTTTTAACAACGGCGACAACACCGCAGTAAGACTGGAGCTATAGCCAGTTCCTATAAGGCTGTGATGCCAAAGCAGCACGTATACAAATTTGAGGGGTGAGTCACTCTTAGCATTCATCTTTAATACTAATCTTCTTCAAATAACTCGTTTCGAGTTACCCGTTTCAACTCATCGTTTAAAGTTACTCCTTGCAACTACTTGCCAAGAGTGTACTCTTTACAAATACTGGTTAAGAGTTATTCGTTATAACTACTCGTTTAGAGTTATTGCAATTACTCATTAGTTAGTGGCTTGTACTACTCGTTAAAAGCTACTCGCTAATAGTTACTTGTCGAAGGTAAGTCGTTAAGAGTATGGTTTTTAAAAGTTACTCATTACAACTAGTAGTTAATAGTTACTCGATACAAAATTTGGTTTGCTTTTCCATCCGAAACGTTAACAGTTACTATTTAAATATTTATGTCTTCTTTTTATTTCGTTCTAGTTTTGAGGCATGATCTTATTTCATGGGCGTTTCACTCTGAGAGAGCGAAAGAGATACAGAGAGCGAGCAAATGAGAGAGTCTGATAAGTGGTGAAAACTTTGATGTTCTCTGATTGAATGTGGCTATTGATATCCAGTTATCAATATCAATTAAAAATAACGTGACTGCTGTCAAACCGGAAAAATTAACCGATTGAAATTAAGAAACGGAACTAATCGAATCAAAACATCTAACAGCTATTATAGGAACGATCGTTGGACAACAATTTGTGGATAATCTTCGGTGTGCCCAAGAAAATCTCTTGCTTTCGTTTTTTCTTCGAATTATTTTCGAGATACTTCTTCGTATTTTTGTTTAACACACAACTTTGAAAACTTTAATTTTTTTTTTGTTTAACTTTAGTGAAATTTTTTACGGAAATTTGTTTCGAGTTTATTTTTAGTTTTGTTCTCTTATGAACATTGGGAGCAACTGACGACTGTAAAATATAGCCGCCAAAATAGCAACCTTAAAAAATTGCTGACATGTCATTGTCAAATAGGGAAAGCCAACTCTGAACACGATGTTAAGCTGAATTTGCAGTAGCAACCATTGTACTGACTGCTGCACTGCTCCTGCAGATGGGGTGACACCGCGAAAAACGACCATGGAGGACCATCCAAACCAAAATTGTTGCACTGCACTGCTCCTGTAGCTGAAGTGGCATCGCGCAAAAAGTAATTCTCGCCGAAAAAGATGTATAATGACGATCGAAATGTCAATTGAGGCCGAAATATCGCCATTAGAGACCATTGAGGATGCTAAGCACGAAGAAATCCAGATTGAAACGGATACTGCGGTGGTCGATGCAATACCCTGCAGAAACTCCTCAATTGAAAACCGTCATTCCAGAGCTAGCTGACGTTGCCAATGTAGAAATAGAAACATTAGGTGAGAGACTAACAACTGAAAATGTTTGCGAGAGAAAATAAAGAATTGTCTGAAGAACAGATAGCACCAACCAAACCAGTCAGCAAGGAGTCAGTCTTTTCTTTCTGTTACGTGCTGTGAACGCATGCTGGGGCCGACGGGAACTGAAAGCAAACTGCCGTTTTACAACGTTAGCAGCAAACAGTCACCCAACAGACTACTTTATTTTTGTATATTACTTTATCTGTAGCAGCCTTATAAAGCTGAGATGTAGCATATGTGTGCTAAATAGCAACACCATATACTGACAACATACTGTTGGAGTGAAGAAATAGTGTGCGATGTGGCATGTTTACTGAAGTGTAATGTGTTGATTTGATAAATGTATCAATGGACATCATTCTGTCAGTGCCGATTTCCGATATGTGCCAGACTCCCAAGTCCATCGACGTGTTGACCTCTAACGTAATTTCCACTGCCGTTGCCATGACAGCGGACTTAGGTTAGTGTGTTCGCAGTTGCAGATGTAGTTTGAAGTTGCGTGGTTTGTGTGTTATTGGCGATGGACTCAACAAGTGAGAACAACATCTCAAGAGGTGTGTCCATCTTGCTGCCCAAGTCGTCAGTTGACAACACACTTTGCTGAAACGTTTATAGGAGAGTCCACATCCATAGGGCACTGCTGCGTACATTTCTATTGTTGCTGCCACTGCACCTGGGGTTGATGTTGCTGCTGTTCAATTTGGAGTTGATCCTAGAACTGCTGCATGTGTTGCTCAGCTGGATCGTGCACACAGGCAGAAGCACTCTTCCCTTGTGCGACCCGGCTATATGTCAGTTTGCCTGCACGCTGATGGAGTGAGACCCGCTGCAGCTGTTGCTGCTCTTTGTTGTTGCCGCTAAGTTTGATGATGTTGCTGCATGGATTGCGCAACCGCAAGATCTAGAGCGCGTACGCCTTAGATCCGCCGGGTGAGTTGAATGCGAAGTCTTGTAGATTATATTACAGTCTTTGTTTTCAGGTGTTACTGGACGAGTGAACGTCGTGAGTCATTCCGCGGTGTCATATGCTCAGGGTCGCCGATGGGCCAGGTGAGTTATATGTGCAGCAGCGTGTAAATTTGTTGTGTTTACTTTTATGGTTAAAAACCTAACACTATATAGATTTTTGGTTTTTGGTTTCCGGCGTCATTGGACTAGCCTGGATGCGTGCAGGCATTCAGGATTTGTACATCTCACTGCTCGACACAATTGGTAACAGTGGGATTGGATGGAATATGTCGACCTGGAATGGTGATTTTCGGGTGATTAATTAAATGTATACTTGCCGTCAGGTTCATTAGAATTGTGTTTTTGTGGTTTGACAATGAGGTTACGAAACGGCTACTAGATGTATGGAACATTAACTCTACTCAAGCGGTAAGTCTCTCTGAGGGTTGAGTTATTTGTTATCCACGTTGCATTTACTGATCTTCTAATAATTCTATTTTGCAGTTTTTGAATTCTTAGTAGCCGAGTGCCCAACAAGAGAGCTCTCCAGACTAGAATTCTATATTGCCAAAGGGGCATGATGAGCTGTTGAATGATCAGCGCCTTGCAGTCTTCTGATGGTTGACTACGAGATCCAATAAGTCACTCCAGCTTAATTGCTCTTGGTTTTATTCTAATCCATAATCGCGTTATGTGCGGTTTGAGGGTGACCTTGTGATCTAGTATGACACTCAGTTATGTTTGGGAGGAGTTGCATTTCAATTAATGGCGTCGTTTCTCCATCTTCCTGCCTTAGTTATCACATGGCCAGTCTTGCATGAATTAATGGAGAAGGACCACCTCTTGGCCCATTTTTCCAAATTACGAATGTACCTTTGGCTTTCCCGAATCGCAAACTCTGTGGTAATGGCTGTGTATCCTGTGTATCGATACCTTCGAAAAACTTATAATTGTGTTTTTAGGTTAGTAATCTTTTTGCTTCAGCCTATTCTGGGCAGTTCTGTATTGCTATCTTGCCACTGTCGTGTGCGTGAGCAAGTTCCAGGCCACATACAGGCCTCATTTCATTCTTAAATGACATTCGTTTTCCCATCAGCTCGATGGAAAATATGTGTAATAAGGTATATAGGGCATCGTCTGGAGTAATTCCGCTGATTTCCTGTGATATAAACACAATGACCCATTTACTGCGTTACTACGTTCCATTATAAAAATGAGAGATTTCTCGATAGTAGTTTTCTCTTATGTTGTGCTGTCTCTGTGGGTTCACCTTTCTGATAAGCATGTTGGGATAGTCATTGGGTTTATTAATCAATTACACAGTTAATACAAGACATATTTCAGATAACGTGGTTCATATTCGTTAATGTAATATCGAACGAATTTACAAGATATTTTAAGAAGCAGGTCATGCTGTACTGCAAAATGCAATGCTTCCTGAAAAGAGATTAATTTGCACATTATAATAAGTATGTATATAAATGTAAACCAAAGTGATTTACTTATAAAATTTGTATGGTATACAACATTAACTAGAGCACAACTTTTTTACAAAAGACGTATGAGAACCATATGCAAGTTTACCGAATTTTTTATTTGTAATAGACAAATACCTTAGCCAATAACTTTCCCAGACCATGTCCGGCCAATTTTTTAGGAACTCTTGTGCTTGTTATTTCCATAACTCCATCGACAATGTTGTATTTTAACGCAGCAACTTTTCCGTCAATTTCAATGTAGAATTTGGTACTATCCAGTCGTATTACGATTAATGTCCCCATGCTTCTATAACGGGTGAGCAGTTTTGAGCTTTGAAATGTTGCTTGATTTTTAAAAATATTACAACGCTGTGCTTTACGTTGTAAGTGGGAAAAATCAACACGATTTGCTTTTGGTAAATAATACATTCCTAGAATACATTTTATGCTGTGGCGCAATACCCTTGACATTGAAAACATATTGTGTTCCTATATTGAGGAAAATCTCAAAATAAAAGTGTATATTTTAAACAAAAAATTTTAATCCGCTTTAATACTTATTAATGCCGAAATATAATTAAATACTTTTGAAACTTTTACATTTTGTGGAAATATCTATCGATAGTATATTGAATATTACCGCACGCATTTCCTTTAGCAATTCTACTAACTCAAAAATATTAATCTTTCATGAATGACAAAAAAAAAAATGTTATGGAGCTCGTTTACTTATTTTCATGATGATCTTTTGTTTTTTTAGCTATGGTCTGTTCAGTCTAATAGGTTTCAGTGCGTTTAATATATAATAATTAAATTAACAAAATATTTGAATTGTGTTGCTGTGCTTGCGGTCTGTGCTTTCAACCTTTTTGGTGTAATACAATAAAACGATATAAAATACATGTACATATAATATAATACATACATAACATATGCATAAATATAAACCAATTTTTAGCTTATTTTAGCTTATTGCAAAACTTTTTTTTATGGATTATGATGCTTCATAAGCGTTTGTTTTGGCGAAAGTTTAGCATCAACATTGGATGTTCCTAATCTTGTCGTTCCACTCAATAAATTACATTTGTATTTCGATAGTTTTGGGTCCATCACTAAACAAAATTGACATTCATTCCAAAATGTAAACAAACCCATAAATATATTTTCAAAATGGCGGACAAACAAGATAAATGGGACTACATATAATTTTCAACACATTGTATTTAATTACATATAATTTAAATTAACATTATTTATGGCAATATCGCATTGATGAGAATTCAGATTTTGAGAAACACGAGAATGAATTTCAACCAGCGAAGAAGGTTTCCAAACAACGTTGCTTCAATTCAAAATAATAATTTTATTTTTTTAATAAAGCCCATGAGTACTTTAAAATGTAATTAACTTCAATTGCAAAATATCCCAATGGTCTAATACGTTTTCCACAGCTCGCACATAGCAACAGCTGTACATGTACTCTGCGTATCTCTTTGAGTCTCCCATTATCTGCAAATCTATAATATGCTCTTGGGAATAATGCAAAGCCACCCTAAATTTAAGTCACTGAGCTCCTAGGTTTACGCATAGGTTGAATATTAGAGAGTTCCGACATGTTTAAAAAGAAAGGGAGCTCCAAAAAATTCTTGCTTTCCTATTTCGTCACTTCAACTTCTACAGTAGTCGGTATGATGAACGGGCAACCTGGATGCATGATTTTAGCACCCAGTGATAGTTGGAATCGTTTCTTCGATCGGCACGGCCAGATCATATGCGAGGTTTGGGTGGTAAGCGTAAGTAAGTAATTGAAGATTCTGAAGGAACTATTTAATCGATTACGATTTGTATATCGGAAAGACCAAAGTCTAATGGTTAATGACCTTCACGAGTTCCATATTTAAATGCTTCTTGTTTTCCCGTAAGATTGATGGAAAATTTGAACAATAAGGTATCTAGGGCATCGCCTGGAGTAATCCGCAGATTTCTCTGTGATGCAGAGTTCAGCCATGTGTTTGGTTTTCTGAAGTTCCAGCAGAGCCTGATAGCAGCGATGCTGACGAAGACACGTCCTCTACTTCGCATACAGAACGTAGACGTGTCGATGTGGTGAAGCAGCAGCCAACCATCACGAATCAAGCTTCCGGAGCGGCTGGAACGTAAAAGCGCCACTCCTCCAAGCGCCGACGATAATGTTCCTGAATGTGGTCAACCCAGCTACTTTCTACAACTAGATGGAGAGCTTTTAAGAAGCCAATACCTACTCAATCTAGGCTCTGCACACAGATGACTGCGCAATACAGTGCAGTAGTCCTGATGACTACAGACCAGTGGCGTGACACCTTCGCGAAAAGAGACATATGTTCCACCATCACCAACCTACACACCACGCAATACGCTCACTCTGTTGCCTCTGAGCATGAGATTTGTTGATCTCAAGACGGCTGAGAACAAGAATCTGGTGAAAAATATAATTGTCGTCTGAAGACACAAGATTTGCCACGAAAGCATGCAGCACCCGTTCTATGAAACATATGCCAAGAGTATGGACACACCAAGACGTACGGAATGACGGATAATCGTCCACCTCCATCCGCCAGCAGTAGTCTTTTGATAGTCCTAATGCAATAGTCCTTCGACAGATTGGACAGGATGATATCCATTGTAGAGACTTTTGGCTCATTAGTTCGCAATGACCGTGCCTAAAACGGCAGCATTGGACGTTAACAGAGTCATCTCGAAAGTCAATAAGATTATCTCCTTTATTAAGCTTAAAATTTGTTGAAATTTTTGTCTTCCTTTTGTCAGAGACGCAGACAGAAATGTTTATAGGACATCCCTCAGAATCCAGGTTTCACCTTGCACACAGCCAAAAATGCGATGGTCCCCGTGAGGACAACCATTTTTCATCGACCGGCCATATCGTACTGTGAGGATCACATCCAGGCAGCCACTATCTGACTCACATACGTCGATCATTTCACAAATAGCATGTCGTACTACTCCTCTACCAATCATGCCAATCCATGCCACTGCTTGTCCTGAAAGGCATCTTAAAAGGATGCACTTACGCACAGGTGACCCTGCTACAATGCAAGAGCTTTCAAGCGTCGTCAACAGCACCGGCTGCTAACTGGAAAGCAAATCTAAACAACTTGCTGGAGGGAACTGCTTCAGACAACAACAGCGCCTTCTCTATATGGAAGCTGACAGGAGCATCACAAGACAGCCTGTGCTCGTGTCCCATATTTTGAGACATTGTGACCGCTGGCACAGACGCCAGCCGAGCTGCCAAGTCCATGCCGCACAAAGGCATACATTTTAACGCAATGCTTAGGATTGGTCATTTCAAACGGCAGTACAACCATGCCCGGATTGTAGCGATTCTAAAATCTGGCAAGCCCACAATGTACATTGTCGTGTGGCGTCCCTAACGGCTGGTGAGCCGTCTGGTCGTCCCTGCTGACTGTCACTATCGATGTACTGGATTGGATGAAATATTTGAGCGGTGGACCAGCGTTATCCCAAACTACTACCTGGACGTCCACTTGAGTTGCATGATTATTCGGCGAGCCCACATCTTTATGGTATACAGCAGTCCAGGTGCTGACAATAATATCCGAGTCATGGTTGTCCTTAAGACAAGTGGTGAAATTACTGACATATAAAAATCGTCTGTGTTTCTAATGAGGACACAATCCAAGAAAAAAGTCCAAGTATTTTACAAAGCGAATTACGAATATGATCTCTCTTCTCACATTGGAAGTCCGACGTACTCGAGAAATTAACTCCTTCCACTACAGGGCCTGATTTAAGGATGTGTCAGCACTTTTTTAAACTGAACGCTCAAAAACGTCTCCGGTCATTCTTGGTGAATAAGTATTGATCAAACTGCCTCGCTCATGAGCACCTGTAAAGTGTGCTCTTGGGAACCGCCGGGCATATCCCACCAGTACCACACACTTTTAGTCCCGCGTCATAGTTTCTCCGACGTTGTTCTCTACTTTAGGTAGAAAGGCTTATATAGTAAGTGATCAGATGTCTCCACGAGTCTCATTCGCGGTCACGATGGCCACCCGGTACAGGTGAATATTTTATAATACTGCAAAGGGGCGATATATTCATGCTTAAAAGTTGACTCGGGACCAGGAACTGTATATCCCATCATACGCAACCGTCTATCACCCTTTGCCAACATAGAAGATTTTTAGCGTAGTTAGTCAAAAACAGTATTTCTCAAGAAGTAAAAGAACTCGGAGTTATCTTTGATAACCACCTAAGCTTTCCATTTGCTCACAATAATTGGTCAAGGCAAATGAAATGATGTCTGGCATTATTGTAAAATTCTTCCAATTAAATATTTAAGTTCAATATTTATTTTATTATTATAATCGGATAGCGGAGGTTAAGAGTATGTTGGTTTTGTGCGATATCCATCATGCAATCTGTTCTCATGTTTGAGCGCAACTTTTTGAATACCCTTGAAGTTAGACACTTAAAGCTTCGGTTGGTAAGACCATAGGGCCTAATAATAATATCCGAAAATGCCTATAGATTTCGCTATCCCAAATTGGGAAGGTACTTTTACTTTAACCTCCTTCATGTATCAAAAAAAAAAGGTTGGTAGCCTCCAATCTCTCCCACAGAACCGCTATAACTAATGGCGTAAGTCGATAAAACCGCATTTCCTATTCAAGCTTGCAGAGTCACCAAATTTGAATGGTATATTATTATTCAGATAGACTTACCTTGAATTAATTTGAGTAATCATTACAATGAATCATTAAGCTGCACGTACTTGATTCGGTATATTTAACTATTTATACTGAAACTTTAACATATACAATATAATATACATATATATCTACATAATATATATATATAATTATTTGTACTTAGTATCATATTATAGATCTAGATAAATTATTTTTGTTGCAGATAGCGCTGCACAGAAACTTAAAAAGCTGGCGGTGCTTATTACTGCTGTAGTGGTTCCAGAAAGTTTTACGATCACGCCCATGCACAATGATAGAATAAATTGTGCTAAGAAAACCATACTGCTTACTATGGCAACATCTGTACCCAAGCCACGCACTCCAGATTCCAATTTTGCACATCCACTGCCGTCCACTTCAAACTAAAACAGATTTAAAGGGAATATATATCTTTTAAATAATTTAAGTGTATGGTTTAAATTAGATTCCCTCAGTCTTATGGCTGTGAGTGTTGCCTGTTCAACGCCTTCTAATTCCAGACATGGAATGTCTAAAAAGCCGTCTAGTGTCTCATTTGGTGTGGTGCGCAGATCACCTGAGTTGCATAGTCATCCATACGCTGAACCCTGCTAAGTTGCTTCTGAGTGGTTTGCCTTTTCAGACATGGTGATCATACTATGACTCCATATAATAGGATGGATCTAATATATAATATATAATAATATTAGGGGGCATACCACATTAGGCGACTGTTGGGTATTAAGATTCCTGTCCAATGTCAGCCCCAAGAAGTTGGCACTGTTACTGAAGGAAAGGCTTGTGTTGTTTCGTCTGGGGGGACCAGAATAGGAGTTTTATATTTCCTTGAGAAGAGAACTAGCTCTAGCTTTAGTTGGGGTTAATAATTAAACCGCAGTTGTTAGCCAAGGATGACAGTATTTTTAGTGCACTTGTCATTAGGTAGGTAACATAGGGTTTGGGGATACTTTCCTCTGAAGGCAAAAACAAAAAACTCCTGCGTGTGCGTTGATTATCCAACGATACACCCTTTTTTATTAATAGATACGGCTTTTTGTAGATGTTACAGAAACGCTCAAAGTAGCTGATTCCACAACACACAATTCAAACGAAGCAGTGGTACACCCTTATGGGTATGACTTTTTCAACAAGGTCCAATATCCTAAGGGCTTATGAACGTGTGCTAGTGAAGATAGCAGGAACAATCTATCGTTGTCTTTACGTATGCAAGCTGGCATTAGATTTATACTTTTTGGGCGTGCGATGTATCCTTTTACAGAGTAGAGTGGCTTAAATTTTAATAAGTTTTGGGACTGCAAACCGCGAAATGTTTAGTGCACCGCCTATATGTTTTGTATGCTTTGTGGTTGTATGTATGTAAAAGCTGTTGTACATATGTATATATTTTTGTTTATAAATTAGAGTTTTATACTTACTGTGCCCATGGAATGATAATGTGCCACTAACAAGTAAGGCATGGTGAAGAGGGTGGAGTACATGACACCTGCCGTCCAACTAAAAACTATAACACTAAATTTACTGCGAGTAAGTGCCATTAATGTCATGCCAGTACAGTAGAAAAGAAGTCCTCCCACATAAACAGATTTAGCCCTTAAAGAAAAAATATAATACTCTTAAAAAAGTTTAATAAGGTATAGTAATTTCAAATAGAATTTGAGCATAATTTTTGCTTCAATAAACAAATGTTCCGAACGAAAATAATGTTATGGAGTTTTAATATGATCGAATTTTAGTTGAAAAGAGTTTCATATGACATCATTGCTACACCTGAAAGCTACGAAAATCATATCAGGGGCTTTTTTAACCAAATGTAGAGAAAAGCACATAACTTTCGTATTGGCAAACTTTGCCCACAATATACAGAAAGCAAATGCAGAGAGCTATTCTATATTGTGATCACAATTTAAGTATTCTACGACAATGAAGACATTTCTTGTGATATCAAGAGTGGACTGATGACTTGGATATTTTTTTCATACTGAGAAATTGTCAACTAAAAAACTACATCTTTTTATTTGTCACTTGGTCGTTCAACTGAATATATCTTTCGTTGCTTCCTGATTTTGCGAATTAACAATACCGGGATTGGTATCATGGGCCACTTGAGGTTACTGCTTGTTGGTACTTCAGCGCCCAATAAAAGATTGTGATATTTTACGCCACATTTTCAGGGCACCCTTCTGTTCTGATATCCACTGTGTCAGGAATATGGAGAGAAATCCATTTCCGACAGCCAAAAAGAGTATGTGTGTCGGTCGTCTAATCTTCGTCTTAATCGAACCTAACTTAATCTTGTCTAATAAGTTTGTCCGTCTGTTTTCTTACGACTGGCAACCCCTATATTCCCTGTATTGAGAAGAAAAATTCAGTTCCTATCTCTTTTTGGACACTCCGCGAGCTTAAATATACAAATATTTAAAGTCCGCTGTTAGACTAAGCTTGATGAAAATACTTATGTAAGGAGTATAGTTAAAATAATATTTTGAAATGCACGCTTGGGCAAATAGAATATTGATTAACAAACACGGAATGAAATGGAAAATTCAATTTATTCCAACGTATTGGCTTGAGTATTTAAGAAGTGTACGACTTTTAATAGTAAAACAGTGAAATGCTTTCTTCGATATCTGTCCTAATATTCATCTATCTGCATGCACGCAAGTTTTCTCGATACGCTTTTTTCATAAACCTTCGATACCCCTCGAATTGCAAATCGATATGTAACACATATTTCCTCAAGATTTTAACCTAGATTCCTGGTAACCTGCTTTAAAGATTGCCCAATAAAATTGTCCAATAAAATTGTCCAATTTTTGCATTTTTACATTTTTGATGATCAAAATCAAATCATATGGTTTCAAATCAGATGTAAGCGGTTAGACTCTGTACTACAATCTGAAGTGAAATCATTGGTGTGGCGACATTAGTTATTATTTCTTAAAGTATATTTCTATAATATAATAATAAAATTTGTCTAGATTTTAGGTAGGCTTAGAACAATTGTGTTTACCTGAATCGTTGAATAAGCTTATCAATAACCAGTGAGTAACAGGCACAGGAAAGCGAGTACATGGCCATACCCCAGCATCCAAAGCGAACACCCTCTTCATATTTTCGTTGAGATATTGATCCTTCCATAGCTCTTGGATCTCCATTAAATACAGCTTCCCCGACAAAGTCGGTGAAATAAAGCGAGTAGCATACATGCGCCATCCAGCAAAAAAGATTCGTTAGACAAACTATGCGCAGAGAATATGGCATGTACACAATAGAAAGCAAATAATGCGATAGAGACTGTATTTCCACATTGCCTTCAGGTTCATTTGCAGCATTCACAGGCTCTTGGTTTTCGGTGAACGAAGTTTCATCAAAGTTCTCCTTCTCAGCGCCTAAATTTTCCGATGCCACAGCGGGTGTCATCTGCATGAAAGTAACGAAGTAAATTGATATTCACAATTATTATAATAAGTAATAAGTAATAATAAGTACAACTTTGATTGGAAAGAGTGTGGTATTGAAGAAAATGCTTGCTTAGAGTTCTCGACAATGAGATACTTGATTGGTACAAAGAACTTTAAGTGAAAACCACCTGCAATTCCCATCTTCTAAAACGCTTTTGTTCGATGTGATTTTTTTTTTGTCGTAAGCTAGCTAATAGTTAGGGGCAATCACGTGTAACTTGCCGTAACCTTCTGGACAGCTGGTTGTGCGGCTGGAATCAGATCGTGGTACGGTTAATTTGTTTTCATGCTGGTGAATACATGCGGAAAGGAGAAAACTATTACATATGCCGCGTGTGACTTTCCTCTTTAAGTCTCCTCTATACTAATATATCATTAAAGGGTATACAACTTGCAAGAGGACAGAGTGATCAAAATAGGCAGAGGTTAATAGGGCATAACACATTAAACACAAAACATAGCTTTGGCCAAACAACGAACATTGGTCTGACGACGCGCACCGATGATTAAGTCTCACTCAAATTTAAGAGTGTGTAATCACTTAAATATCATAAGAGTAAATCAAATTAGCAGAGCACAAAAAGAATGTCTATTACAGCTGAAACCTCTATTCCTAATATTCCATCTAACGGTGGCAACCAATACCCTTGTGCCGATTTTATTTCCATTAATATTTTTTATTTTTTTCGAAAACATTTAAATAAAACGTTTAAGCTCAAAAGTGCACATGATAAGTCACAGAAAAGATCGTTGCAGAGCTTTGATTATAAGTTTTCTCAATTTCAACTAAGCATATCACTTATTTTGGTTTTAAAACGGCCTCTAATAATTTGTTTGCTATTAATTAATATATATTTTTGTTAGATGCAATTATATTAAATATGAACAAATTAGCCCACCTCATCATAGTTTTCGTGGTTTTTAATGTCATCATCGCTATGAATAGAACCGTAATTTATGGAGCCGCTGTCTAACGGACGTTTTTCCTTTGGTCGTGAGGGGGAAGAGAGTGCCCAAAGTGGAATTTCAGTAAAGCTGGTTATTGTAAATGTCACGCAGGCAATGAAAATGAATGTAATTATGGTAAATACTGCTTTGACATGTCCTCCCAATCGTCTTCCTGCGTGTACAAGTATTAGTAAGTGTGTAATGTTTTTAAGTATAAAATAACTTACCAATTTCAGTTTCATCCCAGTTTAAACCACCCATTGAGTAACCAAAAAAACCTCCAAGGCCAGCCATTATTGTGAATGTAGAAAGACCTTTGGCATGATCTTCTGGAATACACACATCCAAAAGGTATGCTCTAGATGGGCTTTGACAAGCATCTGCATCGAAGTCAAGTAGTACAGTTCCTAGCACAGTGAAAAATATTCCCCACGGATGTGAAATTTTTGTATAATTTTTTATCTCTGACGTCGTGGCTGTCGCTCTATGTGGTACTATATTTAAATAGTTATACGTTGTGTTATACGTCGTATTCATTGCAGCAGCCTGTAAATGTGGGTCTACATCACCAAACCAATATCCCAAGTTTTCTCCATTCGGAACCAATATCAACCCTACACAAGTATCAAAAATTAATAATAATATTTTTATGAACAACATTAAAATTTTTTTTATACCAAAAAAAACTCCAATAGACAATAGGATTATGAATGGTCGTCGTCGTCCTATATTTAATTTGCAGCGATCTGAAAAAGACCCCAAAATGGGGCAGAGAAAAAATCCAACTAAAGGTGACAGAGCCCAAACCAGTGTCATGTGCTGATGTTCCACTCCAATTTTAAGCAAAGTTGGTGACACGAAAGCTGTTTCTGCAGCATATGAAAATTCAATGCCCATCACCGCAGCGGATACTCGAATCAACTCCGCACGTGTTTTGTATCTGTAAAAAAAATCCATATAATGAGCGTGCTGTCCAAAATTCACAGCATGAAATTAAGAATATTAGATTTACCCTAAATAATATTCCAACGATTTTAGAAATGCTTGAATACAATTATTGAAGGGTTAGCAGCATCAGCTAAGAACTTGCAATTGCTAGATTTTTAGGACAAACTGTAGCCCATACCCAATATGCGTGTATTCTTTTGCCCTATTAACCCTTGCATATTTTGCTCCCTCTACCCTCTTGCAATTTTGTATCCTCAACAACAGCAAAATTATGTTAGTAACAGACGAATAGATATCCCACCGCATAAAAATTATATATTTAATTATTGGCGATATTTGATAGCAATCTATTTAAAATTGCAATAAAAAACGCAATTTTAAAGGTATAGTCCTTGCATGATAGTGTGATTTATTAGCTATAAATATTTCGGATAATACACACACAAGTAATAGAAAATTGGAATGTTCCCTCATTTTGTTTCAAATATGGTACCGTACAAATCAAGGTAAAAATCAAATATACTATTGTAAAAAAATTTGGGAAAATACGGTAATTTTATTATAAAATTATTACGAGACCGATTAGTACAATTATTAGACCACCAAGTCGATTTTACCAAAAATGTTTTTTTGCTGTATCAAGTCGAAAAATGCGCTAAAAATCTTACTAACGTAAAAAATTAGAAAATCTGTGTAACCAAAGGCTCAGCGTTGAAAAACGCGCAATGTTGTTCGGCTTTTTATATTTTCTACTGGGTGTATCGCCACTGCAGTTTTCTTATATTTTTTACTTAAATGTCAAATTGTACAAAATCAATTTCGAACTTAAGCTAGATGAATTTGTGAATAAAAAATTAAAAATGTTTGCCTAAATAGAACTGCAAAGGTTCTTGTGTCAAAATTATTACATTTATTTGAGCAGTGGATTAGCGTTGTCAGCCGATTGAGTCCGTCCAACACTTGAGCTCCTCCAGCCGAGCGCCCATCACAAGGGGATCCACCGATATGCGAACCGGGGATCAAGTCTCCACACTTTCTTCGCTCCCTCCATTTCACAACAAATCAGTTTGTTGGCCAATGCACTTCTCTGTACATATCCGCCGTCATAACACGCTAAAACGTAAATCTGATTACAGCGACAATTCGGACATTCATTTTAATAAGCTCTATCAGTTAAGTAGAGCGTTTGTGCTGGAAAAACTGAAGTGCATCGTCGCATCTCTTCGACAGCATGGCCATACATACTCATACTCATACATATAAATGACGATGGCGTTTTTTATGGTGATTCACACGTAAAGGCGATCATTCAGATGATGAGCTGGTCACGAACCACCCTACAACAATAACTGCATCGCGATTGCTTCGTTCGGTATATATTTACATATGTATTTATATAGGTTGGCTTTTAGAGTAGGAAAACTTGTGCCATGTATTTATGTGTACCAGAACGAGTTTTAATTGAAACAGAGAATACTTTCGGTATCAAAATGTAAAAATTGCAAGAAATTTTCTGCAAAACGAGGAAAAAAAATTAGGAAAGCTAAGAAGATAAAATGCTGATAACCTGACTCAAAGATCAAACAAAAATCAGTTTCAAATCCTGTGAACCCAATGATGATGTACCACAATTGCTCTTCCGTTTTTAACAAAATTTTTCTAAAATTTATAGAGTGATTGTGTTGAACAGAAATTCCTTGTTGAAATAGTCTGATTGCAATGTATCGTATGCTTAGTGGTCTTCTTGAGAAAATTTAATCTAAAACTTTTGACATGGATTTAAAAATGTATGGCTTGTTGGTTTTAAGTACGGGAAGAATAAAGTTCTATTGCAAAGAAGGAGCTTGTGAGTTTCGAATATTGTTTGGTCGGCAATTTTTTCCCCCGATCTATTAATATACATTACAAATTTGGTGATTGTAGCCGCAAAAGTGTTCCATTCGGAAACAATTACGCTCGAAACCGTCTGTACATTTATTTGTTATCATTATTAAAATTTCTCCTCACGTATCACAAAGTTAAGGGCTGCTAAAACTTTATATGAAACCATGTTATAATTTCTGTGTTTTGGGAAATAGTCGTGTTCACGATTCTTGGATTATATATGATTTTGACCTTACCTATAAATATGAGAATAGTCCACGTTAGCACTTGCGTTACCTTTAAGTTGGTCAAGAGCACTACTTTTCGCCTTTTCTACAAAGTTTGTCGGATTTACATCACTGTATTTTTCTTTAATGTTATCCCTCCATTGGTGAAGACGACCCGTTAGCCCTTGATATTCATTTAATTTTTCCATACTGGTATATTGATTAATTTTTTAAAATTTAATTCGTTACGAAATGTAATTTAAGCCGTTTCGTTTAATATTGCCAAGCCAAAAATTTATATGGCTTCGCAACTTGCAGAACCAAATAGTAAAACAAGACTCAACATTCGCCAAACTTTGCATTCAAAGCATAAATAAATTTAGATTTTACAAATAAGCTTGCGAATACCCAATTGGAACGAAAACCATTTCGTATCGGGTACAAACAATTCCATTGAAATTCATCGAGCATGCGTTGGCATTTTCTATTTATTTTAGTTTTCCAGCAAAGCTTTCAGAACGAACAAGTGTAATGGCATGAGCTCGACTATGTTATATCCTCTAGGTCGTAAGTATATAAAATGCCAATACTAATAGACTATTGATTTATATGTATATATTTGATTTATAATGTCATTTTAATTAGATTTGTAAATATTTAAACACATCTGCAATTAAATATGGGTATGAACAATGTATGAACAAGGCGACGTAAGTTCAAAGTTATACCCGAAAAGTGGTGGAACAAATGTGATTGGAAAAGGGTTACTCTTGGTATTGGAATGCAGCATTATTTTTATGAGCGCAGCCTAGCTATAAAGCCGATAAGATAAGTCGGTATAGCCTTGCCTATGTTCATGTACGTATGTGACTTAAACAATTGACAAAGAAAGTCAGCGCGTACAAATTGGCGTGTACAGAAGCTCGAGGTTTACTTCATTTTCCGAATTATACTGAGCTGCTACCAAATTATACCCTGTAGAGGATAATACAATTTAGTTGTCAACTTTGTAACACATTGAAGGGGACGCCATTCGCTATTCTTGATCAGTATTACTATCCAAGTCTATATTACCATGTCTGTTTGTCTGTCTGTCCGTCTGTAGGTACACTAAACATGCCATTCCTTGCAAAAGCGGCTTATCCCAGATATATGTCTCATATATAGTCTTTTGGAATTATAATGATTATTTGAAACTTTTATTTTAGTGGAGTCGATTTCTATTTAATTGCCGGGATGTCCAAGCAACATCTTTAATTTCTTAAAATGTTACTGCTGTAGAGTACATTGTATTTAAAGTATTGACAAAAAATTTTAACAATAGATTGATAGATTGATTAAACATATCTATGTCTTTTGTAGCTTACAAATTACGGAGGAGGCAATTTAAGCACATTTCAGCCTTTTCTCGCTAAACTAGCTGGCTTTCCTTAATTTTGAACAGACTGCTTTTTCATTTCATTTTGTGAAGGTCATTAAAAGTCTACTATTTCAATAGTACAAAAAAAAAATAAATCTTATATTTGAATGATAAAAAATATTTTGTTTATTTTATAATTCTGCCCTACGCACAAGTATACGCTTATAATTTACTGCAAAAGTTTAAATTTCGCTTAAGCTAGTTTTCTTAAAATTTAATTTTTAATATTACAAGTTTTTAATAAAACTAATACTAAGATTAGTGATTAAGATGTATATTAATAACATATTTTGTGATGAATTTATTAGATAAAAGTCTAGAGATATTCAACAATTTTGCACATAAACCCATCTTCCAACGGTGTTAAAATCAACTTTCAGTTAATGTTACGTACGTTTTAGCAATTAATAGTATATTTTTTATTGTCGACTTGTGTGGGACACCCTCTGCAATTGGAGAATTTCTTTTACAAACTTTTAACTACAAACTCTACAAACTTAGGGACATTCACCATTAATAAATTACACCAACTCTTTTAAACCTCTAAGTTTTTTTTTTAATATCGTGAAGAATGCCATTTTGTCCTTATTAAAGTAAAAAATAAATAATTCGAATTAAAACATTTCATCAATATCGGATAAGAAACACCCAAGTTATAGTCGAAAATATATTCTAATATTAAGCGTGTATATATTTTGTGTATATTTTGCGGACCGTCGTTACCTACAATTGCGTGTATGTAAATATGTATACATGCACATGTCGAGTGGTTGAATCACTATAAATTTGAGACACCACCCAATCGACGGTTAGAGCCTCCAATTGATAGTCAAAACGATCCCAAACATGAGTGTGTATTTTGTAGCCCGTCGCAGCACCTCGATATGCAAGTGTACACACACACACCCAAAAATGTATAGACACGCGTTTGTCGCTAGCAGGTGCACTGCCTTAGTTTTCATACCTATTGAAAGTGGGTAAAAAGGGTATAATGGTTTTATTCAAATTTATGTAACAGGCAGAAGGACGCATCTTTGACTCCACAAAGTACATATTTTATCGATAAGGATCAACAGCCGAGTCGATATAACCATCTACGTCTGTCCGTTCGTCCGTCTGTATTATGTTTAATATATATCGGCATATTAATGATCGACTGGGTGAACTTCATCAAGATCGGAGAAGATATATAGGTATATACATAGATATATTTATATATAGATATATACATATATTAATATTACTCTCATTTTAACTTTCAAAATGAGACGCAAAATTTTAAAAGGAAATAAGTTAATAAAGCAGTTCGGTTCAGGGTAGACTCACTCGGCTACAGTGTTCTTACTTGCTGTTTTACCCCTTGATACCTGTACATTGGAAATTAGAGCTCTAGTCATTTATTTTTTAGTGTGAAATAAAACTAGAATAACATATTTAATTAGGATAGCTTGTAGAGAACCATCTTTACTTGATCATGTTTACTTCTTTTTTCTTTTTAAAGATTTCAAATTTAAAGTTTAAGATATGGTTCTGCTAACTAAATGGTTAAGTTCAGATTGGTTTTGCTTTTTCTTTTTATTTATACAATTAGTTCAGTTTGGTTCAGATAAATATTTTTGTGCTTCAACCGAACTGGTTAGCAGCCTTTATTTATTAAGGTGTACGTGGATATGTGGAAGAGCACAAGCTGCTCAATAACACTTAAACACAAATTGAGCCGTTAAGATGTTCATAGCTGTGTTTTGGGTGCGGCCTCTTGTTTAAATTTGTTTAATACATTTACATGCTTATGTAACTAAATACTTTAGCATTTGTATACCCTGTAACCAATAAAAATTTAAGAAAGGGTATAGAAAGCTTGTTAAAATTTAATTAAATGAAACAGGACACATCATCTCCCCCCAACAAATACATATATTCAAGAGTCAAGGCCTTATCGGTCATTCTCTCTGTATCAGGTCACCGATATCAAAAGTCGATTCTACGTTGCCTAATACAATATCTGTACATCAAGGTTTTTATTTATTATTATAATATAATTTATATTTTACTATATGAAACTATTTTTGCACAAATAAGAAAATATAAATATGCAGATATGACATGTGAACATGATGTACCTAGTCGAGCACTACCGACTAGAATCGTCTTTTCATATATATGATGTTGAATTTTCACACCTAATTGACAAAATACACATAAAAAGTATGAAATTGGGCGGCAGTCATCTTGCTAACTGTTAATTGAATTGGTAATATGTTAATCTGTTTTTTCTCAAATACTTTGATAATCTTACATACGTACTTACGTAAATGAAGTGGCACGTCTAAACTGGTTGAATAGTAGAAAATCATTAACACTTCTTAAATAAACAAACAAATTGTCGGAATGTTAATAAGCTATATATGCTTGCATATACATTTATGCATATAGGTCTAAATTCGAGCCAAAACAATTCTTAAAGACATGAATGAAAACGTCTTGGTCCATGATTGGTCATTTTGAGCAGGCTATCGGGATTGTCGTTCTCAGTACACCGAAGCAGAGGCTTTGAAGCCAATGTGCTAATATCTGGGCGGAGTCAGAAACGATGCTGTGGACAATTCACACCTGCGCTCAAATAATTTGATGGGAAGGAAAAATAATAAAAAATTTAAGACTTTAGTCATGGGCAAATCATGTGAAGCTGTAAGCGGTTAAAATGTATCGGCAGTACATCAATTCTAGATCGTACAGAACAACTCATAATGAGAATGCAATGAGAAATAAATGCAATTTTGGATCAAGTGAAATATTGTGCAGTTCTTCAAACAAAGCTAATAACGTCGCAGTCTCCAAGGAGATTTCTAATAAGCATAAAAAAACCGTCTCTTTTAGTATTGAAAATATCTTGTGTACCAATAATGACTCGCAATTAGATGGTAGAAAACAATATAATACCCATCTAAAAAATATAACACAAACAGTGAACACTTCGGACACTACTTTTGTGAAAGGTAAGCAACCTCAGAAGGCTTCTGAATTCCATTTTAGGCCCACAGTTACTAGGTCGCATTCAAATTTAATTAATTATTACACCCTAAACTCAATAAAAATTGACACAAAGGGCATGTTGCAGTTGTGGAAAAGTATCTAGCAGTCGATTCGATTTAATCTATCCGTCTAAATGATTTTAGAATTTGGAATATAAGTTCTCTTACGCTGAGATCAAATTTATTTTATTTGATCGCTAACTGCCAGTGTTTCGCGAATATCGATACACTTCGATTTACGAAAAAAGAAAAAGTCCCAAAGGATTGGGTTTCCGATTGATATATGATAAAACTTAAAGTATTTTTTATTGAACAAATTTCATAAAGATCGAATGAGAAATACCCAAGTTATAGTTATATATTCATTCTATGCGTGACAAGCTGAAATAATATATAATAATAATAGTCGAAGCGAGCGTAATTATCTGTGTGTATTCACCAGATATATTTGAATGCGGGTAAACTCATAGGCACATATGTCTTTATTTTTCAAGTAACGTGTTCGCTGCCTTAGTCCTTTTTTTTTAACTTCAGTACCTATGCCGGCCACGAGCAACGAGAGCACTTGCATATCTGCTAACTTTTGAGTGTACATAGCTTTTAAAGATCAATTTGGAAATAAAACAAGAATAATATATTTAATAGCTGTGTTTAGTATCTTGTAGTTAATTTCATTCGCTTATATAACTCTTACTTGGGTTTTGAATACGGATTTATTCTGTGGCATTATGTAGTAGACGGATAATATACATTTTTACCTAATGGGAATAATGCGTTCCATTCATAAATGTTAGGAAAGATATGGAACAAAGGAAAATATTCACCGAAAAATAATGTTGGGGGAGATTTCTGGTAATCTACCTTCCAAGTTTGGAACGTTTGGTCTGTAGTTCTTAAATTTCGGATGATATCGACTTTTATCGGTTTTGGGGAGCGGGAGTGGTCATGGCATATGCTAATCTTTGAATGTCATCGCCAATAACATACCAACCAAGTTTGGTGACTGCATCTTTAAAATTGAGGGAGATATGTGGCTTTATCGATTTGCAACTATCGATTTTATCGATAGGCTAGGAGAGCCTCCTAGTGCACGTACCACTCCAACTTTTACACTTTGGCACAGAACATAAAAATCAATATACTATGCCACTTTCGAATAGTATAATTAGAAATAGATGGGTTTGTTTAGAAATAGACATTGTGACGGTCAGACTTACGGACAGAAGGAGATCTCGTCTACGCCCATCTTGATTCCGCAAATTAAATTACTTATTTCGGCCGATTGTTCCAATTGTCCAATGCAGCTATATTATATAATGGTCTGACGATCTTTTGGTCTGCATATATTGATAAATTAAATTTTTATTAAAATTTTTTTTTTATATATTTCGGCGATAGTTGTGCGATATAGTCGTTTTGGCGTCATAAGAGACCGAAACAAAAATAGATATAATATCAACATAGATATAAGGCATAGAGAGTTTTCCTATTTTGATTTTACATGTCATTTGGAATTCTAGTGTAGATTTCAGAATCTTGCATATGAGCAATTGATTGACCAATCCCACGAATCGAACGTCAACCTTTAGGGTCATAAGGCTACGGCCATCGGTTCTGAAATGACATTGATGAAATCACCTTTAATGTCTAGGAAGATTATTAAGGTGTAATCTTTGAAACATAGAGAGTTCCAAGGGGGTGAAATTTAAACACACGCTCTAAGACTTTTTGTTAGATAATAGTGGGAGGAGTGTAAGAGTAGTTTTATATTGGATTTTCCTCAGCTTCGCTTTTGAGGTAGACTCAATTCCCAAGCAAAATATTTTCAATGATTTCCTCTTAGCTTGCCTGGTGGCTTTTTTGTTAATTGCCAGGAAAGACTTATAATGGCACCAATCGGTATTGAGAGATTTTCCTGTGCTAAAGATGTTCCTACAATATCCAATATTGAGGATGTTTAGTTGTGCAATCCACCAAGGTGGCTTTTTCTTATGAGTGGGCCTACTAATAGGGCATTCTTTTTTGACAACTTTTTACATGCAACTATAAATGTGCGCGCGAGAGAACAGAGATTTTAGTACCTATTTTTGTATCTACCTTCCTGGTGAGGTGTTAGGAACTTGTAACTTTCAGAACATGGCCCGTAAACCTTACTTTCGTACGCTAGGTTTTTGGACTAGTACAATGTCAGCCACCACAGACGAAGCATGAGGCGATTGCTACTCTACTGCGGAGAAGTATTATCTGCAGAGGCGTTGGAGACATTTACAGACTTCAACCCACCGTCCAATTATTATCCGCCTCTTCGGACAACGAGAAATCATTCTCATTTAGTTCGCAGTTCACCACACTTCAATTGGATGAGGAGGGTTGCATTGTTTCAGCATCATTATCATCATCATGCAATAACCTTGTAATTTCCTTGATACTAGCCAACATCTTTGCATCTAGAAGTTTATCTGTACAAATGCCAGGCTTTCCTCCCTCAGGTGAATTTCTTGCGAAATTTCTCCCGGCCTCCTTTGTAGTTTTTTTAATTATTGAATTTAAAATCCTACGAATAGCGGAAAAACGATTTCATTTTACAAGAATAAGCAGTGTTGTACAGGTAAGGCTTCATAACATGGGTGGAATCCTTTAACGGGAAACCTTTACCCGTGCTTAATTTATGTAACCTTTTTACATTTTATGGACTTTTGAATGTATAAATTAGACTCTAAATTTAAATTTATTTATTTATTTTATTTATTTTCTTTAGTATCAGAAAATTGTAGAGATAACTGGTGCTAGAAAGACAACTATGAAGTTGCTGAAACAGTTTCTAGTTTGATGTGAACTATTAATAAGTAATTTTCTATTCTTGTGTAAGTTAAGTTTCGATTTTAAAAGATAATCTTCCTTGTCTTTTATTTACAATTGCAGGTGAAATCGGAGAATGCTGGGCAAATGGAGGCAGTGTACTTACACATTCGATTCCATATATGCAAGGCGTAGATTTCATTACAGCAGATATTTTGCCGAGCCCTTTTACAGCATCATTTCAAAACTCACCAAATTTGCAATGTTTGACTAAATTACCAACGCCTCCTTATTTACATCACTTAATTAGTGTTCAAGGTAAATATTAATCTCATGACATTAGGCAAAAGGCTAATTAATGTTAATTATTCTTCACTGCAATTTTTGACTTTGGAAAAATATGGTTAATATAATATATTTCAGAGTGACTTGGTCTTGGTCTAGTCAATTCGAAATAAAAGCTAATAACAATTAAAGAAATCGTGTTTGGAGAAATAATTTTTGCTTTTTTTTTTAATTTTTGAGAGTAAATTTAATTTTATTGATATGTCTTCCAAGATATTTACAACTAATTGGATAACTTCCACATGATATATGAAATTCCATTAAAAATGGATCGAATATATATTTCAATAAAGTTATGCATTGTTACTAACTATATCTAGCATTTGTAAATATTACAAGTCAGAAAAGGCAAATTAATAAGAAAAAAAACACCCATACATTATTGAAAATTTTTTCTTGTTGGGTAAACCATATTTTTGTGAAAGTACGTTAATATATTGTTGCTCACTGTAATTAACTTGTTAAAAAATGTATAATGATTTTATTTAGGAAAGCGTTTTAGAAAACAAGGTACTGAAAGAAAGCCTCGACAGGCATATAGTGCAATACAGCTGGAACGTTTAGAAAATGAGTTTAAAGTGGACAAATACCTTAGCGTCAATAAGCGTACCGAACTCTCAAAATCGCTGTCCCTGACAGAAGTGCAAATCAAAACTTGGTTCCAAAATCGTCGAACAAAGTGGAAGAAGCAGCTGACTTCACGACGTAAAATAGCCCAACGGCATGGATTATATAAATTTGACATGTACTTTTCAACGGTTTCATCCACTGCATCCAAACCATCTACTTATTCAAATCTTTATCCCACCTTTTATTCTGATCCCCAATTGTGCTTCCTACAACCATTTCAATCGTAACTCATTCAAATAAATGTACATTAAATAATAATAATGTAAAGAACTAGCTAAAATAAATTTAAATAAATCACACAGCTCCGAATTTTTTATTTCGAAATTTTTTTTTACATTTCTAGTGCGCATGGATCACCAAATTAAAAACAAAATTGAAATATTCTTTTTTTTTGGCAATTTAAGAATATTTATAAATATAAATCTAAGAGTTAAATGTTAGTTATAAACTTACCGAATTAGAAGAGTTGATTGCTGGCAACTCCTTTCAAAACGCCGCCCATGCAGGTGCTGTATTCAAATTTTGGAATTTTTCTAAATTAATTACAATGTTTAAAATAAAGCCAATAAATGTATGTGAGTATGTCTACAGAATGTGCATTTTTTTTGCAATGGTTTATTGAACTTCGTGTTGATGAAAATGTCACAAATAGTTGATATTTCATGAAAAGTAAACGATTTTTTATTATATTATGTGATTTATATTTTATTGAATTGGTATAATTTTTTAATTCCAAAAGCAGAATAGAAATTAAATCATTACCTAATTAAATTAAAGTAAGCCGATAACTTGTTTGATTTAAATTAAGTGGTAATATTACCACTCACAGGTAAACGATAACGGAGACTCATGGAATCGCGAAATGTAAAGAACGTGAACGTTCGAAATATTGGATATAGTGGAATCCGCCTATAAGGTATCCATAATCTTGATCAACATTATGATGAGTGCCAATACAGCTAAGTACGTCCCACTGTCGGGGCTCCATCGATAAAAGCTGGACACGCCGAATAATATTGATGCCAGAGGATCTTATCGAGTATGCCGTACTCGTACTTATTTTTCGAAGTATCATTCTGTGCTTAACTATCGTCATTCACCCTCCGTCATGCGTACTTAATGGTACTGCGTTGTCCGGTGATGGTGTGGATTTTCCTCCCAATGGAGAGCAAAGGGAATGTGGAGAAGGCTGATGGCTGGAAACTTGCTGACTGGGTCTACTTCTCATTGTTCCATCGGTTTCATTAGGTTAGGATATCGGCGTGTCAACAGCTGCTTGTATTACTCATCGTTAGAGGATGCCAATTTCATTTCCAGACAGCCAACAGGGCGTGCTAGCATGTGAGGTTTCTTCTGGAGCAAGTACCGGATACTCCTGCTGTTGAGATCGATGTAGTTTAGCGAACACCGGTTCGGATGTTACTTCAAATGCATTTAATATGCTCTCTTAAGATAAGCTTTTGGTTGAATTCTTTGCTTTGGCAAATCCACCAAACTAAGAATATGAATAAGATGATTGGTTTGATTATGTATATGTATATGTATATAAGTTAACATCCATCATTACAAATAACTAAAACCAACGCATTCAAATAAATAAGCAAACACTACGAATAACCAAAGTCAATGCACTCGAACAAATTCCATAAAACACGCGCGCCCCGTCAGCATATTTTCAGCAACGCGGGACTCAGACAGAAATATGATGAGCCCACGATCACAGCTAAGGCGAATGGACAAGCGCCCCGTCAGCAGATCCCACGAGAAGACCATCGTGGGACCCAGAACGGATAACTGACATCATCAGCGACAAAGTTGCAGCAATCAAGGCGTCAGCGACAAAGTCGCAACGATCAGCAGAAGCAGCAGTCCGAGGTTTAGTTATGATAAGTTAAAGTTTATAAATTCAGTATTAATAAAACATTCAAGCGGAACAAACTGGTTTTTTTTATTAAAAACCTCGAGGACTCGATTAATTTATATATATATACAGCATAGCTGTATACATAAGTAGTCAGACCAATCATCTTATTCATAGTCCTAGTTTCATCTTATTCATAGTCCTATATTTATATATATGCTTGAGTCCAATGTGTAAAGTGCAAGTAGTGCCTTTTGAAAGGTAGATCACAAAGATCGTCCTCCACGCCAACTACTGCCCTGATAATTCACAATCTACAACAACTTGGCAAACTTGGAGGATATATTACTAAAAATCTCCTTCAAGGATCGGTATTTCTTGGCTACAGAGTGGATCTGTTCTGTTGCACTTGTTATCAGATGGTATTACTTACGGTATCATAGTATATCACAGTCGGTTACACCCGACTGTAATTTTCTCTCTTGTTTAATTTAGCACTTCTATAGGAGACATTGATCTACCTATTGAAAGACTAACATTAATTTAGCAAGAAATGAATAATTATATAACAGATTAAAGTCTATGACATAAACAGAGAGATGGACTTTACTAATAAAACATTTTACAGCTACGTCCCGAATGTTGCTACATATGCTGAGTTTGACTTCAGCAACTAGTTGACTTTACTTTACGACACGTAAGTTTCCTGTTCAGATATGGGTATACAACCCAGGATGCGAAAATGATTCTCTTGAGGAATGCCCATGTTGTGGAGTCGGACGATTGGACAGTTACCATTCTTGATCGTAAACGTGCAATGCTGAGACTTGCTCCCATTGACGCAGATGGTTCGCCGATTAGCCCAAGAACAGAAACCATCCAAGAACCTCTGTGTAATCGCAGCTGCTCTTCAAACACTCGTGAAGTTGGAAAGGAACACTGTGTCATCTGCATGTGTGGCAAACAGCGAGCTTCTGGCTACTATAATCGGCAAGTCCGCGGTGTACAATGTGTGCAGGGCAGGTTTAAGGACACTACACTAAAATGACGACCAAGCAGGTAAGACCTGAGAAGTAAATACTGCGTCGATCGCAGTAGGGAGTTGCGCCATCAAACACTTGCTGGATATCCAGGTAGACGGTAGAGCTGTACTATTTATTTTTCATGGCCTCGAGAACATACTGTAATAATCGGTGAGCTTGCTCTGGTGTAGCATGGTGATGATGAAAGCTAAACTGGTGATCTTCAAAGAAATATTTTGTCACATATTTTGGAGATATTGGACAGCAAGCTTATCAATCGATATGACGAGGCAAGATTCTTCAGCTTGACAGGTTTGGAAATCATCGCAATCGCTGCACACTTCCGCGGAGTTGGTAAGTGGTGGATGCAAATCATGGAGTTGAAAAGCGGCACCAAGAACATCACTCCCTTTTCTCTGAGAGGATTAGCAACTCAGTTTTAGGATTTAGCAAAGACGCTTTAGTGGACCTTAGCCTGCGAATCTACAAGCGAACCTCATCATCAGCGATAATTATGATTGTACGGGATCGAGATCTACATTTAAAAATTAATCAGTTTTCTGTATTTGGCTGGGTGTCGCAAGCGCAAAAGACGTGAACCGCCTCAGTAGCTCATTCGGATTCGGTCGCATTCCATCATCATCCCAAATCCATGACTACCGCTTGACACAACGTGTTGCCTTATACAAATTTAATCTATGATTTCTGTAGGGATCGTCATTGCGGAGGTTATCCTACAAATATTGACTCTTAGTGTCAAGCAAAATCTTTCTCAGTTGTAGTGCAGCCCACTTGAAGTGCCTCAGATTCAGCGGATTGCGTAAGCGCAAATACCGGCAACGCAGTTCTCTCTTGTGTCTTACCAGTTCCAAAATCGCAGGTTTAAGAATAGGCTGAGCTGGACTAGGGGAACGTCCTCTAATATTTTTTTTGGCCACGCCCAATGCCACCCCTTGCCACCCAAATTCTCAAAAGCTAATATCTTCCGCAATTTTAGAGGTAAAGCTGCAAAACTTGTAAAGTAAATTACCAGGAACTTTCATTAAGGATTGTTATTTATTGGCTACACCCACCCGGCACCTGTTATCAGATGAGATTACTTATTGGTATTACTTATCAACATTTTTTTTTGTTACTATAGCAGACGTCAGCTGAGTTTTTTTAAAGTTCCTTCACGTTATGGCCAAGCTGAGTCAATCGGACGATTTTATAAATAGCCGTTGCAGCTCGTTGGAGAGTGTGGGTGGAGCGCCGTGCGCCGAGCACTTTGCCAACACACACATTTACCACCCACACTCTCTTTTAATATACGATACAATTGAGTTCAATTTGTTAGCAATAAATATAAAAATAATGTATAAAAGCAATTAAAAGGCAAATACAATGTTATGAAAGTTATTAAAACATGTTTTATTTTTATTGGAATATAAAAAAGAGGATCCAGTTAAGCCCATTATAAAATTATATTTTATATAATTCGTGTAATTATATTTTTTACTTCAAAGTCCAGTTATTATCGCATTCATATTTTTATAATTGAGGATATCATTAAGTACAGACTTCTAAGACTTGAGCGATGTGTTTAATTGTTGAGAAGTAGTCGTCGGATACACGTGATGCAAGCCAACTTGATCCCAAACTGTTTAAATAAAATAGATTGCAAACATTATAATTGGAAATAATAAGTAGAGGTGAAGCTATTTTTCTAAACTAAATATTTACATTAGGGACGCGGAGGGTACACCCTCATATACCGGAGTTAGTCTGCTGACATTTCAATCCGATGTTCGAAATGTCATGTTTTTGTACATTTTATTTGAATTGAATATATCACCTTTGAGAAGCTATAATATATATAATTATATATATTATGTCTACGTCTATCTCGATCCCATAGCTTACAACATATCTTTGACCGATTGTTTCAGTGATATTGTGGTCTGATCCGGTTGGCACGATGGTACAATTGACCGAATTAAAAATGAACAAAAGAATCGGAAAGACGGACATGGCTATATCAACTCGTCTAATAATGCTGATCATGATTTATATATATTTACTTCTTATACGGTCGGAGACATATTCTTTAATGCGTTAAGTTGAGTACTCAGATAGATGATAATATTGAGGGGCTAAGCACTAAGCAAATTTATAAAATTTGGGGTGGAACTCACTCACTAAAAAAATCACACTTTTTGGCGGAGCAGACAAAATGACAATTCTCCTACGTTTGAAAGAAAAATTAATTCCTTACTAGGCCCACTGGTCAAGTTAAACATTGTTTCAGGTTACTAACCACCAAGCATATGCATAATTTTTCACAAAAAAAAAATATAAATAAAAGAAACGCTATTCA